ATTAGGTGATTAGCAAATAAAATCACGAGATGATCAACAAAATCTAACCAATTACAATGAATGTTCGCTATGCTGTGTAATACTGGGGTTTCAGTCGATTGTATATGAAAATACCTATGGATATAAGTTTTATCTCTGACAAGAATATTTAGATGCAATATATTCTCTGCTATTTGCACCCCAACTATTCTGAATTGCTCTTTTTCCTATTTAAGGACTTTACGAACCCAATATATACCATCATTAGTCTTTCTCCAAAGTTTTATCTCATTGTCTACTTTTTTTCTTTGATTACAGTATAATTGCGAACATTCTAAGTACATAAGTTCAAAATATTTTAACACGAATATAATATTCGGTTGTCTTCCTTGCCCTTCACCTTTCTTATCAAAACTAGCAATGCTCTGTTGTTCTGAAGTGCTGATGAAGACAACCTAGATAGGATATTTTTTAATATGCCCAAATTGACAATAAAATAATGGTCGATTGGTTGGTTCAACTGATCTAGCATTACCAACCTAAAAAATTTTGCTAAAAAAATTTTGCTATTAGATTAGGTTTAGGTTTAGGTTTTGTATTAAATTAGATTAGAAAGAGCTTTAGTAGTACCAAAATTTTGCAAAGAAAACTTTTTGTTAGTACGCAGAAGGTGATTTATTTTTCGCGTTTCTTCTGCATCATACCTGATCTTGAAATCTGATTGGCCAGTAAAATTTTTTAGGTTGGTAATGCTAGAACAGTTGTAGGATCCTTCATTTAATGATTTTGTGAGTTCGGAATTGAAGGCCGGATTAATCCAAATCTCTTCCAAAGGAGTAAAAAGTTCTCTTACAACACTTGCAATTTCTTCTTCTGATTCTTTCCAAGTTCCATCATGAGTAAGTTTTCTCAACGGTATATTCTGGTACTTACGACCGACGAAACTTGATACACATTTCTTTACCCTTGGCATAAGTTTAGGCTTCATTTGCCGAGCAAGTTCCTAATAAGAAGCATTATTAGAATACTATAATTGTATTTGTTCTGAGAAGAGAAGCTTCCTTTATATATATTATTGTTAATAATTACATTAAATACCTTTTTTAAATTTGGCTTTAATCATTTTACAAGTTTCAAATTATCGCTAATGACTTAACTAGCTATGGGTTCTTCCAGGTCAATTTCTCGATGGGTATAGCATTAACACCAGTACATAGTTGATGATAAATAGACGTGTCAGCTTTACTAAGTTTTTCTTTAGCTTATCAATATTGTCTTTAATTTGGTCTGAGTTAAGAGGGATTCCTTTGTTCGTTTTTATCGCCCCAAGATCATACAAGCTACAAACGCCCTTGAAAGCACAGTCGAACTAATGCATATAATGTAGTATATTAGTTTTCAGAAATGAAAAAAAACTCATCATTAAAATAATGCGTATTATCAGTACATGTGCAAAATTAATATCTTTGTGTGGATAAAACTTTGTGTGATATTAAAAAAACTTATGACTTGATAAATTCAAATATAATAATGCAGTAATACTTGGCTATTATAGATTAGAACAAGTTTGTTTTTTTGATTTATTTTTTATCTAGTGGATCACGAGATAGATATTGATATTTAGTAGATTTGGATATTTGGATATAAAGCCGGCAATAATAGTTGCTGGATATAGAACTGTAGTGCCGATGAAATTAATCGCTAAGTATTTTTATATCATTTCTTGTCATAAATTTGTATAATAGACTAATAAAACTATTTTTAGTTTTAATATAAAAGGCTTCTTGAAAGTTTTATCTAGTCTTAACGTAGATATCGCAATGACAAAAAGGTTAATATCAAATTAATAATCGTTCATTCAGGTGTATCAGTACAAAAATTACATGATCTATGTGCTTACTTTACTATTTGGTAGCTGATTAAAAATTGTAACGATTATCAGCCAGTCTGATATTATATCGAAAATCTTAAAACTTAGTGTATTTAAGAAATATTTATTGTTACTTAATTTTGGTTAACATTTATATTACAGTCAACTTTTCTATAACGAATTAACAGTTCTGGAAAAAAAAAACAAGGGTCGCATCAAACAGATGCAATTGCTATGAGTAATGGTCATGAGAGAATTTTTAATAAATTGAAATAATCATGTGTATACTTGCCGGCCAAACCTGGACAAATCCCAAACTCCTAAAAAATAATTGCTATTTATAAAAAATTAAATCAAACAAATAATTCTAA